GTTCTACTCAAGATTAATTCTAAGTAGATAAGAACGAAGAAAAGATTAATTTCTTAGACTTATCTACTTGATAGTAATGATGCATTTTATCATAGTGATGGATACAGGTCAAAAAATGTAAGTAGGGCTGAGGATATTATTGTCAGGAATTGATATTTTTATGACTATGAATTGATATTTTTACAACTATGACTTAGTACTTCTTAAGGTTTTAAAATGTATTCCACGAGTTAGAGAGAGAGAGAGAGAGAGAGAGAGAGAGAGAAAGGGAGGGAGAGGGAGGAAGGAGAGACAGGCACCCCAGCAGGGTCCAGTGCTGTGTTCCACCCCTAGGTTCAGCCAGACCTGAATCATAGACACACGTGTGACTAGCATACTTGGAGAGGCCTCTGGAGCAGACTCGTGTCGCACCACCTTTTACCACTATGCCACCATCCAGTCCCAACTTAGTACTTTTAAAAATTAGGCTTTGAGTATGTGAATCCATATTAATTTGCATGGATGATTTTTTAAAAAAATAGCAAATACTACTTTTGCATTTTCAATAAACAGTATTGGGATTGTGGTAAATCCTCCTTGGATTTGGACATCACAATAAAAACCTGTTGTTTTTCCACTTTTTAACTCCTTTTTCCCTTTGGAATCTTTATTTTTACAAATGCTGTCATATTTCTGGGTACCTAGATTTCTATATTTTTACCCAGTGTATCTACTGGAATTTCTAATTAAGAAGTTATAAAACAGGCTGGCCCTGTATTCCAATGGTTAAGAGTGGATCCCACATGGCTGACCCTAGTGGCTCGAAAAACATGCCAGGCATGTGCGCCCAGGATGGAGACATGGAGAAGAGAGGGCAGCATAACATGCACCTCTGGGGCTGCTTTTTCCTCCCTACCTACATTCTTCCCTCCCATCTTCTTGTCTCTGGTGAGCACATATAGTCTCTGGCAATTAAAATAAAGAAAAATATGAAACGCAATTTTTCAGGAGTCAATTTTAGTTCATATTTAATAGGTGAAGAAGATAAAAGAGGAAAGTTTAATTGATCTACAGTTCACGATGGTTATTTGCATTTGTCTAACTCTGTGCTTTGTCCTCCTCAAATACGTTACATATAATTTTTCCCTATGAACAGTTTCCGTTTCTTTCCCTTTACAGCGTAATTAGTATGGCGCTTCTCAAATGAGATCAGTGTCTTTAATTGATAACTGAGGTCTCCGCATTATGATCAGCTCTTTTGATGATACTATCACAGTTGTTTTTAGAACAGACTCTTGATCTCAGAAATCTCTCTTTTTTCTTGCTCCTGGGGTCCCCAGTCCTTATCCCCTTTTGCTTTTTGTAGGTGAGTAAAGGACAAACATCAATACCTTCTCTATTGCTATAGAGAACTTCCATTCTCAATGTGCAAAAGTGAATTATTGAATGGAAATCATGAGAGTCACAGTTCAGGAATCATTAAATCTACAAATCAATGATTATTTCTCAAAGATTTTTAAAAAAGTATTATCTTCTGAAATTTTAGAAAGTTTATCCTTGTCAGACATACTACCTAAGACTTTTAAATACTGTCAGGCAGAGTTTTAAAGTTTTGAACACAGAACTTCAAATATGCAGCTGATTTTAACATAACAATAATGTGATTTTATAATCTTGCCCCCTTCTGTTTTTGTTTTTGAGAACATATTGTAGATTTTCATTGTTAAGTCTTCCTTTTTATTTACTTGGATTCTGTACTAGGAGAATGATCGATCTGAAAAATAATTACATGGTTGGTTTACGTTTAGTCTTCTTTTAAGACTTTGGACATTCTTTCTGTTCTCCGGTTACTACATAACTAAAGTAGTCTTTTTAGAAACTTGGATTTTCTCAAATCCAGGAATTCTATTTTCTGTGTACCCATCTTTCTACAGTTCTAAGTCATTGCTCCCTTAAGGTTATGAACCTCCCCTGGTGTGTATAAGTTGCTTCATATTATTTGTTTTGATTTTTTTTTCTTTTGAACATCTGTTTCTTCTGTCATTATCTCATCTTTTCCCCAAGGCTCTTGCCATTCTTTACAGTTTCCATGTGAGATAGTAAATTTATGTTCTTCTTATTGATGCCTGTATTCTCATTGTTACTAGGGAGTGCTTGTGTGTACTCCAAAGAAGAAAACACATTGGTTTCTACAGTTCATATATCTCCCAAGGCCCTAGATCAAGCCCCATCTCCTCTAGGAAACTTTCACTAAGCTAAAGTAGCTTTCCATTTTCTGATCAGAGTAGCAGTTAATATCTGCATTAATTATAATGGTTTCTATATACTGTTCTTGAATTCCTTAATGGGTCTTACCTCTTAGTGGAGTTCTTAAGCTCTTGGGGGAAGGAGACCATGTCTTATATTTCTTATGTATAGCACCTCGCATAGTTCTGGACAGAAATAGACGGTAGGCACTTGGTAAATAATTGCTGGATTAAGTTGAGGAAATTGGCAGACTCCTTTATTCTTAGCAGTGGACTGTTGTGTGTTTATTCCTTATGATTTCTAGCGTCTCCATGATCTGTCCTACTGCGTTAATTGATCTGTGAGGGATCAGGGGAAGTCTGTTTGAGGTTCAGGAATCTATGTTCTCTTGTGATCTCCAGTTCAATAACTCTTTTTCACAGTTTGTTTTCCGTCTTTCATCCTTCTTTTGATAACAGAACCTTTTGATAACAGTCCTTTTCACCTCACCTACCCAGTAACATGTATTCGATTTCTACTTGCTCTCCTAGATTGTGGAGGTCTAATCTCTGGTCATTGCCAAACTGGGATCCGATTTGTAGCGAGCCCTAAGACCTACTGCAGCCTTGCGAGTGCTGACTGCCTGCTATTTTTTGGCTTAAGTACTGCTTTTTGCTTGAAGGATCAGAAACTTATTTTAGTTTCTGAAATCCTTATTTTGACTAAGTGTGCTAGACAATAGAATTGCAGTTCTAACATGTGCCCCCTTTTGTTGATGTTTATGAGATGTTGGTTAGGTGGTTGTTTCCTCCCAGTTCACCCTACCATTTTCATCCTAACACTCCCCACACCAGTGTCTGTGCAGGACATTGTAAATCCATGAGCATGTTAACAGTTATCTGTTCAAGTGCTTCCATTTCTGCCTTTCCAGTTGATGGTGGTGGTTGGGGGCCAAGCACCCAAGGCCATCCGAAGTGTGGAATGCTATGACTTTAAAGAAGAACGATGGCACCAGGTAGCAGAGTTGCCTTCCCGGAGGTGCCGAGCAGGTAAGCGTGATACATCGTCGCCTGTTCCCTACTGCTGGGTCAGTGGGAGCGTCTCCCTCAGGTCTTATTTTCTTAATTAGCAGATTATCTGGTAGGAAAGCTTTTACTGAAATAGCTGTGTGGTTCAACCATGAGTCGGGGGTCTCATAGAACTCACGACATCGATAGGGATAGTTGCTCTCTCTTCATCTTTACATAGTTTTTACCATAAGGTAAGGAGCCAGAGATTTAATTTGCTGGATATTTTCCTGCTTACTTTCGCTGAAGTCTTCAGAGGGGAATTCTTTAGGCTGGGACCTATAGATCTAGGAGATTACGACTTGGCTATAAGCCACAGTTGCCTTCTTCTGGGCCTCCATTTTACACATGTTTGTTGAAATAGCCAAAACTACCATCAGAAGAGGCAGTTGCAGACTTTGATGATTCTTCCTGAGACTTAAACTTGTGGCCGTAATTCCTATCTCCTCTAGCAAAATGAGTTCTAAGGTGTCCTGGAACATTTCTATGTTGGTAGGACTTTAACATCTCGGAACTGTTACATATCAGTTCATCTAGAATAATCTCATTCTTTAAGAGTTATCTCTTATTTAGACCTGACGAAGTATAATTTTACTAGGGTTTTTTTTTTTTTTTTGGGGGGGAGAGGGATTTTGCTATGGGGCATGTGCGCTCGCCAGAAAGAGAGAGACAGAGAGACAGAAAGTGAGAAAACACCACCCCCTTCCCCAGAGGGGATGGCCACTCCACAGTTCCTTCTCCTCCATTCTCCTCTTGGGATCTTGGGCATGCATGTGCACACATGTGCCCAGCGTGAGTCCACTGGGTCCGAGACTCGAACTGCAGTCGACTACATGGGAGTCTAGCGACTTAGACATTACGCCAACTGCTGGTCCCATAATTTTACTAGTTTTTAATTGAACATCAAAATTGTTTTTAATCTCATGGTATTCTAAACAGTGCTACAATGAATTCCTTGAACATACATCATTGTGTATATATGTGAATATTTTTTGGTAGGATACATCTCCAGAACTGGAGTGGCTGATTCAAAGGCTATCCCAAGGGGATCTGCCAATTACAGTAATTAAAGGTGGCACTTACAGTAAAATATGAAGGCGCCAGTTTCTTTACTCCTGACAACACTTCGTAATTCAATATTTTGGGCTTTGCTAGTCTGTTTGGAGAAAAAGTAGCTCATTGCGATGTATACTTATTTATTTATGAGGAAAGTTAAACAGCTTTCCCTCGGTCTCATCAGTTCATGGCTCTTGCCATTTTTATTACTTTGCTTTATTAATTTAACAGATGTATTTTTATGTTAAGGGGAGTAGGCTTTTTGTCATACATAGTGTACATATTTGTATTTATCTTTTATCTTGACTTTATTTGTGCTATATAGAGTTTTGTGTCTCTGGATTTACAGATTTGTTTCTTGTATATTAAAGTCATACTCCAAAATTACCTACATTTGTATATCTGATTATATGTATACACACACAAAAACATGTTTTTTAAAACCTTTATGTTGAAATAATCTTACTTACAGAAAAGTCACAAAGATAAGCCAAAGAGTCTGATATACTCTTTTCTTAGTATTAATATCTTACATAATTATGATGTAATTACCAGAACAAAACAACTAGCATTGGCACATTACTGCTGACTAAATTCAGACCTCCTCCAGATTTCACTAGTTTTCCATTATGGTTCTTATTCTGTTCCTGGATCTCACATTGCACTTAGTTGTCATATCGTCTTAGTCTCTTTTGATTTGTGTAGTTTCTTAGTATTCCTTTTTTTTCTTTTTTCTTTTTTTCTTTTTTAAGAGAGAGAGATTTTTGGTATAGGGTGCAAAGAGATGGAAAGTGAGAAATCACCCTCAGGGTGGATGACCATGTCGCAAACCCTTCCCCTCCATTCTCTTGGAATTTTGGGCACATACACATATGCGCCAGATATGTGTTTCAAGCCACCGGGTCTGGGACTTGAACCATAGTCAGCCATGTGGGAGCCCAGTAATAACCATTATGCCATCTGCTAGCCCCATTCTTACTTGTTTTCTTATTCCCTTGACTCTTTTG